TGTAAACATACTCATCTTGAGTGGAATGGTTAACACTCACTGCGGTTTTATGAGGTGTGCTAAATGTTACTTCACCTGATTATGTGAGCCGCTGAGAGTACTCTCGTGAGTTGGGTGACAATATCTCCACCCTACCATTAAGCATCGTCGTTCCGCCTGCTATGGGTACCAGGAGTATCGTTACACAATCCGCCGGTCGTATTGAGATGTCAGATTAATCTCATACATGGTCGAAATCAGCCGATTTTGACTTTATGTAGGAATGTGGAGAGCTGGGGTACATCGGGTCTGATGAATAAATCTTATTGCAGATACGAAGATCGAGATACACTGGAATCATTGTTTCGATGACTGCAACTATCAACGGGAGTACGTATATGGTCGACTAAGACCACTGACAACTTGATCCGGTTTCTACTTGGAACAGCGTTGACTAATCTCTTAATCCGGACCAACGCTATACAAATTAGAACTCTCATCCACCATCAACGCTCTTCGATTTGGACTTATGAGACCAGGTTGACCTTGATGCACTAAGATACTAGAAATCGCGTGCGGCGTCACATAGAACATGCATAGATTACAGCGTAACCCATCCCGTTGATCTAAGCGATCTTAGTTCTAACCAGGTTTAAGAACGGTTTGGGTAGACGAAACATGTAAAATTACGAGCCTAACTGGACATATTAACAAGGCTGGTTACTGCACGGATCTAAGCAATCGTCTGCCCTGTCAGTTGCACAACAGGAGAGCATGGGCCCTGCAGGAAGATCATCTCAAGCCACATTGCTCTCAGGTTACAGTGAGGTATAACCTACACTGAGGAATTGTCGCTCGTCCGTGACCTTATTCCGATCGAAAGTACTCGTGACTGCGGTAGAGGAATGGAGAGGAATATTCCAAACCTGAGAAGGTTTTGATGAAAGAATGTGAGCTAGTGCCTCAGGATTACGTTCATAAAATCATCATAGACCTAACTTTGATAGTTACCAAAGCTACTACACGTAGAGGTGATAATGCGAATTAGTAACCATTGTGTGGCTTGTTTATCCCAAACGGGTACCACGAAGTTTCAGAGATCACAACTTGGTA